TTCTTGTTGTCATTTCTTATCAGGTCAGAATGCTTGAAACGGTATGTATGCAGAGTTCGATTGCGTACTCTGTGTGTTGACCATAGAGGTTCACCTTCCCCCTCCCTCAAGATAGTTCCAATCCCTGTCCACCTTGAATGTTACCACTAACCTTGCATGCATTGTGAGTTTGGCAGCGATCAGTGAAGTTCGCCTCCATGTGTTTCGCTGTACGATAATGATGATGTTCTCATCATAATCGGGGCCTAAGTCGGGGGGAGGTTCTTGATGACAGGTACGATGTTTGACAATCGCCTTTCGGATGGAATTTATGCAATACTTCAAATTGTTTGGAATAAGGTAGTTAGTTCTCGGAAATGGTTGGCACCACAACCTCCGGAAAGGGCCGGTGGAAGCTCATCTGGGCCGGGCGATTCGAGCGGGTGCTTGTTTCTTTCGTATGTGCACAAGACTGTGACCTCTTCCGTTGTCTCGGGCAACACACTAATGGAGACTCGAAATAATAAATGGTAAACCGAGAATAGGAATGTTTAACATTTGTGGAAGATAATTAATGTGTTCGGATGGCGCGGTAACGTAGAACTCTGCGGAGCCGACCGCCAACAGCTTGTTCAAAGAGCGCACAGTTTGTGATGGAAAAAATCTGAAACCTACACGATGTCCTTACAAGCAAGAAAAATGTTCGAACTTAAAAATCAAGGAACTAACAAAAGTAAGAGAATAAATAAACGCTAAGTGACGAGTGACTAACCTTTTCTTTGTAGCTGCTAGAGTGTTCACTAACGTCACTGTACACGGAATCGGTGTCTTCGAGCTCGCTAAGATCCTCGTCGAACCCTAGCTTGCAAATGGATGAGTAGCGCTTGCGTCGAACCGTGCGTTCATAGTCGTCCAGGCCATGGCGAATTTGCTGCAGCAATTCCGCGTTTGTTTTCGCTCTGTTAAAAAACGTTGCAACACACTCATAATCGTGTTTGTGCAACTCTGCACAGCACCACACCATGAAATCAGTGCATTCCTCCGTCAACTCAGCCGTAGGTTATAAAAAAACGATAATTGCAAACCAGAGTGCTGTAATAATGAAATTTGCGGATCGATGACAGAATCAGATGACAGGCACGATTGATCGTGACGGGATAGACCCTTAACCAAAATGATCACTGCGGTAAGGATGAGACAACTTCCGTCCATCGGTTGTCTTTTTAGCAAAAAGAAGAGAACCTGGAATTTTTAAGGATACCGTCAAAGCGAATTTCAGTATACGAGCGGTTTATCGCTCGTCACCGGAAAGCAATGAAATTTTGATCAATGTAACTGCCACCTCNACTGCCACCTCGTTCAAGTTCTGACTGCTGTCTCCTTGAAAACAAGAATGACCAACGACCTGACAATGTATAACGGGATACGCTACTTTAACCAGATGACTTTCTCTTAGTTTTCATAAGGATTGGAAGAATCCTCTCAAATCCAGCTGATTTTACTGTCTTCAGTACATGAATACTATTGCACATATCCACAACTTTTCCATCAAGCTTCCAACAAAACCAGCAACTCTTTAGCAATGGACAACAGCCCTTTAGTCAAAATGCGCGATTCTTCAACCTCGACTCACAAAAGTTCAAACGTACTAAGTCTTGTAATACCGCTTCAAAAAAAGGATTTGGATTATTATGAGATCAACGAACATTGACATTTTTTCGCAGACTAATGTTGCAAAGCTTGTTTAACGAATGAGGAAGTGTCGCGATCGTATGCTGAGTAGTTAACCATCATAAGTGTGAAATGCTATCACATGAATAAACTGAAAGGGGTATATTTTTGCGAAATGAGTTCATCTTTAGACTAACAATGAACTCACTTCCGTAGTACAAGTCCTCCTTAAGTGAAGCTGAGGAGCACTTTTTGATTTCTCTCAGGCGTTGTAAATGCGAAATAATATACAGTTTATGTTAAATTGTTGATTGTTACAGAAGTGGAGAATTGTTGAAGCATCTTCCTTGTGTCACCGATGTGACGTTTGATTTCTTGGAAATGGGACCTCAAAATCACCGCGGCGATCGGCATTAATATTCATTGTACCACATCTTATCTTTGGCAATAAGCTTGCTCGTCGAAGGGCTTATGATGAAGAATTCTTGTGTTTTCTGTCACATTCATCTATATAATGAGCAGCAGACTGGGTGGACCCCATAGTCGAAACATTTCGTTCAGTGGTGGAACTAGCAACGGAAACCCTGGGAGTAAGAGGGACGAACCACATAAGGCCCGGATATGTTAGGCCTACAAATTTGCCCTCTCGCAACAAACAACCTAATAATTAATTAATCAAACAGAGGGGGTGTTCAGTAAGTTCAACCGGGTATGCTTCATTGAATCTTCAACCCCATCACTTTTGGTGCATTAAAAANAAAACTGCTTTACCGTAAACAATGCAGCCACAAGAGACGCGCCAAATGGTCTGACTACGTGGGTATATTCTATTACCTTAAGGTGCAGCATCTGATACCACTATGACGGTTAACTGCGCAAAATACGATCACCACACCTAATCATTTGTTAACCAAGCAACATCAACGTCTGTAGAAAAAACTTTGAACATTCGTCAACCTCAGAATATGCTTCTTGAAAAGACTTAATCACATCAGCATATCTGATGGCGCGTCGAGGCTACAGAATTGTGGGTCAAGGATAAAGGTTCGTGGGGTCAAGACCACAAAATCGCGCTTCCTGGTTAAATTTTGATAGGGGAGGAGGTAGCGCAGTTAGGGGGCCAAATTATACCGGCGGCTAAGCCTCTGTTGCAGTTCGGGTAACCCGGACGGCATCAGGCTAGCTGACCTGCTAGCAAAAATATTCCACTCTGCAATCAAGCGGCATCGAAATGTTCGAACCTATTCACCTCTACCTCAGATGATTTTGTCGACCAGAATATGTCACCTTCCAATTGTGGCGTATCAGCTGAAACAGCCTTCGATTACTCTGTTTCGATGGCTACTTTAGTCCACCAGTTTTCCTTATCTTTCTTCAGATTCTGTCTGTTGCAGTCGACGATAATACAGTTCCTGGGACGCGGCGGCTAAAATCCACTAAATTTGGCTGAACAATGCAATCAACCTCAATCTGACAATGCTCACTGTTATGTCTTAGCATAGAAATGCTGACAATTTCATCACGTAGCTCAACCGAAGTGTTTTGTTATAAGCATCAATGAGCGAACACTCAGCAAGCAGCAGTTGCGTCTCTTCGTGCTCTTTTTGCATCCTGCATACATCGTTTGTCCGTTCGAATGTATAGGGATGCACAAAGAGCACTTGACATATTAGCAAGTTCCGTCGCATCGTTTGGCATGCGTGCGAAGTGATGCTGCAAGACTGGGTGTCGCCGAGTTCCGTTCTGAAGCTAGACGGTCAGGAATTTGCTTAAGTTGACTGATTCTCGTACTTGGGGAGCAGAGAGACCATGGACGATAGTGCATTAAAGGACATAACCGCCCGCATTTATAAGGCTAGAGCAGCGTACGCAAGATCCAACACCTGTGGCGACGTGACGTTACACTGAAGATGAAAAGTCGCGTGTCCTGCGCCACGGTACGATTAGAACTGCTTTACGACTATGATGCCTTGAAGTTATGAATAGAAGACATCCGTCGTTAAACAGTATTCGACAAACAACGCCTACGTAGTCTAGCGCAAGTGGGATGGAGTGCGCGGGTTAATACTTTAGAAGTAAGTCGCTGGGTGTTGGGGAGTGCATCGTACAAGAACTCGCTATCTCATCGAATTCCACTCCGTTGGTTAGGACACGTTTTGTGTTCGACGGTCACATACCGCACCGCGACTCATTCGCAGCAGCCGTTGCAGATTGGAGAAAGCCACGTGGTGGCCAGCAGATGACGTGAAGATGAGGCATGAAGAGATGCACAGAGCGATTAGATAGAGTAGGTGTCTCTCATCTTGCGGCTTCGGGTTGGAGACACTGAAAGTCATTGTAGCAAATCGAGCACAGTGGCGATTATGTTATTACACTTTATGTGACCAGAATGCTTAAAATAGTATGTTCGCACAGCTGAACTGTGTTCTGTGTTGACCGCAGTGGTTCGCTTTCTTTTACTGTGCCCAAAAACAGACCCAATCCCTATCCTCCATACACATTCTCACTTATCTTGCATGCATTATGAGCTTGACAGCGATCGGCGAAGTTCGCTCCACTGTATTACGCTGCACAATGATTGATGATGATGAGTTGAGTCTCAGCTGTGGTAATGCATAGGTGGTAGTCTGGAGAGGCAAAGTTTAGTCAGTAGATTGGTTTGGTTGCAGGTTCATCGCGTTGTGTAAATATGCAGGAATTCCTTGCATGTGACTGTCCGCATAGGATGAGATAATCTGTATGATGAAGATCCACCCTATTAAGTGCATGAGGCTTAACTTGACTTTAGTGATGCAGAACAAGCAGCAATGCCAATAACAGTTCCAGTTTCAGTTTTTTACAATCATTAACCATGCAGTTTTGTGCGTCGGTTTTGGTTGCTGTCTTTTGGTGCCCCATTTGGATAAAAGAGTAGAATAAAGATTGGAAGGTTAAAAGTAAATTCAAGCGAAAGATTGAGAATTCATATAGAACGGTGTTAGGAGAACGATGAATGGATGCACGAGTGCCATTGTTTGCGACACCCAGCCATATCACTCAGTATCTGCAATTATTGATGACCATCATATCGGAGTCCTCAGCCAAGGAGCCTAACGGGGCCTATTTGACCTAGTCGCCTGGTTAGGGTTCTCATATCCTCATGTCAACTTTCAGTTTGACCACCGTTGACCTTTTTCCAACCGCTACCTGCCTCACCAAGCATCGCTCGCCGTGGCAACCTATTTGGTAACATGCGTAACACATGCCCCAACCAACGTAATCTATGGAGGTAGATCACTCGCTCCAGTGGATGACCGCGACTGCCTAAAACTCTACGCCTAACCTCAACATTGCTTGCCCGGTTACCCCACCAGACTCGTGCAATGCGACGTAGACAGCGGTGTTTGAACACCGAAAATTTATTTTTATTCTATGCCCGTAGTAGCCAAGTCTCTGCATCGTGAAGCACTACTGGTCGAACTGTTGCGGCATATACTCGACCCTTCACATACAGCCGGATGTCGAGACGGAGCCACAAATGTCTCAGGTTGGCATATACCAACCGAGCCTTTTGTATGCTCGCCGGTAGTTCATCTGTGATGCGACCGCCAGGTGAGCTATAGCTGCTCAGATATCAAAATTTGTCTACTTCCTCAGTCAGAGTGACACTGGGTGCTGGACCAACCCAGTCCTGCAGTATCACTTTACACTGCGGTGCGAAACGCATACCGAACATGGATACACTAGCACTCAAACTCACCAGAAAAGCTTGCAACTCACTTGGATCTTCACTTAACAGAACAGTGTCGCCTACATACTCTAGATTAGACATTTTGCCACCTGTGAGTAAATTGATACCGTTATCCTCGTATGAGGATAGAGCTGTTCCCGCAATGAGATCTATAACAAAGTTAAACGAACACCACTTTCCATGGTAAGCTCGAGTGAAAAAGTGCCGTAGGCTTGGACTCGGCTTGGTCTATTAGTATAAAGCGATCGTTATGTTGAAATTAACTTCTCGGGCACATCTTCCAGGGAAAGGCAGTGCCAGAATTTAGAGCGGTCGACTGAGTCGAAGGCCGCTTTAGGATCCAGGAAAATAGAGATGGTGGGTCTTAGAAAAGAATGTCGGAGCTCCAGAGTTTGGCGAAGAGTGACGATGTGATTGATACAGCCTCGACTAGGTCTGAAACCAGCACCACAGATTGCTGCTTCAATGATTCGTCTGAAGCCCTTGCAGAGCAAGAACAAAAGAAAAAAACGACAGGTTGGTGGCGACCAGATTTACACTTGTCACGACGCTCACTACGGACATTTGTAACTTGCAGCGATTCACGTGCAAGGCTCGCACACGCCACCTGCGGTCATAAATTGAGGATGAGCGGACTTCAAATGATGTCATGAATCGTGATAGTTCATTGGCGACTGGAGGCCACGGCTGAGCAGGTGATTTAGTTTTGGTGGCAAGGATGGTAACTGTGAACTCTGTAAGGCATCAGAAGTTCGAATTTCGTTACGACAGCAATAAGCCATTCTCCAACTGATCTCCTGTACAACAGCGCAGCACTGAAGATCGTTTCAGGGTAAGGCAGACGTCGACGACGTAAGCAAACAATCACAAACAGTAGCGTTGTATGCAAAGTGTCAGTCATCGGAGGCTGGAATCGAGTTTACATAACTAAGCGCTTGCTATTTTCTATCCATGTAATTTCCGTTATCCCCCGGGAGGCACTACAGATCAAACTTCATAGTTGTGAAAGCGGCAGGTTTTGCAGCAGTGACTTGGAGGCTTAATCCTAGCTGTGTCTAGATCCGCTTGAGGACCATGAGGAATTCATTTCTTGCAAGAAGGGTTTTTTATTTCTTTTTGTGAGCAGCTACATATCACCTGATCGATCGATCATGCCCATACACAAAGTCCGCTGCGTTAGTTCACTGGCCGTTACGAATGAGTGAATGCTGTGACTGTTTAACCAGTCTTTTGTACAGTGCGGAAACATGA